CCCAGGATATTCAAAGGAAATTTGCTTCCTTTGATTTATCTCCAAGAACAGGCACTCCTGACCCCAGAAAAGGAGATTTTGTGGCTTTCATTCCCATTTCCTGCTAGACAGTTTGTTCCGAGTCACTGCTAGAAGGGACTGTTTTTCTGGTGAGGGTAACAGGGCCAAGGCGGGTGCAGCCATGACTTGAGGGAGCTGCATAGCATTCCAGTTGTTTGCACAGTGGAGGACTGACACAGCACTAGCAGGAGACAGGAATAAGCTACTAGCCCTTGTAGTGACTTGGCAAAGCCACATCTGAGGATGCTGCAAGGAGACCAGGTATCTCCTGGGGGAAGCTCTCAGAAGCAACTACCTATGTTTGTTTCCTTCTGGGCTGTGGCGTTTGCTGGACCAGACAGCCAAGACACAGAGTCCAATTTCTGATGTAGAGGCTGCCTAAAAATAAATGACTAGACCTCTCAGGAGGTGATTTTATTTCTTGATAAATAGCCTCTGCTTTTCAGGAATAAAGGTTTCTTTGATTTGAACTCTGCCACGCTGCCCTGCAAAATGAATCATTGCTGGCATGTGGTTTCCAGGTCCAGCATTATGGATGTGCTTCCTGCTCTTTGTATTATCATCTGGACCTGTGCAGTGAGCAGTGGTTTGCCACCCTTGTGCTTTGGGTCATTTTGGACTGAGGTGAACAACTTCACAAGGTGCCAGGCAAGGGTGATCTGGGCCTCACATACCTGGGTCCTGCTCTGTGGTCATACTCCCCTCAATGATGCTGCTGCTTCAGTGCCTTTCAACACTATTGTCAGGAACACACTGCAGAGAGGAAAGGCTGCACCTCTTTGGAGGAAACCAAAGACCATAGTGACATGCAACCGTGGCCCAAGCCATTCGTACTGTCACTAGTTATGCTGTGGGTGTTCTGAAGGATCAGGTTCATCAGTGAACAAGAATGGACATTCCTAGCATTCTTCCCATTTTGCCACCCAGCCTGCTTCAGAAAAAGTCCTGATGTAGGTGTTTGTATCCTGTCTCTTTCTTCCCTCACTGTATTTGTCTTTCAAGCCTGGCAGCAGTGGAAAGAAACTTAACATGTGATGCTGACATTCTGCCACCATGTCTGTAGCACAGCAGATTCCTAAAGTCCTCAAATCTAGCTAGGAAAACAGGAGGCAGAGGACTCATCAAAGCATGGAGAGGTTTAAATCCCAATGGATTCAAGGAGGGATATTGGCTTTTATCCAGAAGCAGGGCTGCTCACACCAGGAAGGCTGTCTGAGTTCCTGTCCCCACGGCCCACGCAGTCCCTCTCCTGACTTCCCACCTGTGCTGCATCATTTTGTGCATTTTGATCTGATCATTGGTGATATATCTTACTAGTGGTATATTCATGGCTGGATGTTGTGGCATAGTCGCGCTGGATACAGGAGCCCAGCCAGAACCTGGACGTAGGGGAAGAGGGCAGAGAAAAGGTCAGAGTTGTAGAGAACTGCAAGGGGATCCCAGGAATACCACCAGTGAGAGAAGTGCCAGGTGTGAGTCCTATGGTACTTGTCAAGGCAGCCAGTAGCAGAAAGGAACAAACATCCAAGCATATGGACAAAGTCACAGCACTTAATGGAGGGATCTCTGAAGACCACTTAGCCCTCAGCAGATTTTGGTTTGTAAAGCCTTGTTTCACCTGGAAACCTCAGACACAACTGCATGGAGCTCAGTGAGCCAGGGTGCAGATCCCATCACATCCCTGATGCTCTGCTCGTTACCCGAGAAGAGCTGTCAGTGCCATGTGCAGTATCACCAGCCTGGCACAGAGCAGGTCTCTGCTCCTGAGCAGCACCAAGCCCCTGCAGCTCCCACCAAAGCACAGGGGTTTCATCACATGAATTTCTTTACCCATTTCAGGACTGGGCCTGGGGATTGCATTTTATAACAAAATAGACCAGTGAAAAAAAAAGTTGGAAAACCTCTGAGAAATGTGTGCTTCATAAAGCCCTCTTTAATCAATGTCAGAATTCCACCTCTGCCTGAGAGTGGATCTTAACAGATATGGTCCTGCTGGAATTTTCCCTAGTTTTCAGCTACTTGACTCCCCACTGCTTGTTTATTGTTGCTTTACACTCAAATTCCTAGCTTGGCAGGGTTATTCCTTCAGAGTTAGTGCTGCTATTGGAGACATTGTCCCACAGCCTATGCCTTCACACACTGCTGCCCTTGTACCACTGTGTTTGCACCTGTTTGACTACACTCAGCTGCTTCAGAAAACTTCCCTCCAGCCTTTTCCTTCCTCCCTGTCCCACCATACACACAAGAGCCCAGTTTCCCTATTCCCAAGCCAAGACACAGGAATGTACCAGTCCCTAGTGATTCCTTCCAGCAAATTAAGAATTGCTGAACTAAGGAGGGTTTCAGTAGATCAACATGGCCTGAACTGAAAATCTCACATTTGTTGTTTTCCTCCTTTAGTTGGGCACAGTGCAATATTTACGTCCTGTTTCAACTGGTCTAATTCTGCTACCCCATATATACATCTGTGCCTGCAGACTGTATCCTTCACTGAGTTTCCATTCAGGTAAATTTTCACTGGCCAAGAGCTTATGTTGTGGCTCCAGGAGGACTTCTGACCAAAGAACAAGTCATTTCTATCACAGTTGTCAGGACAGGAGCATTTCTTACCACGCTGTGCTTTCCACAAGAGCACTCCATCTTGGGTGAGCAACCGACTACTAATATTAAACAATAATAATAACAACAACAGCAACAATACCACCATAATATGTGGACATACATGCCCCGCAGAACAACAACAACAATAATAACAATACCACCACAATATTTGCACACACATGCCCTGCAGAACCCAGCAGTGGTTTTGCTAGTTAGTATTTCAACTGTTTAGAGCTCGGCAAACACTAAACCATGAACACCCACTTCTGTGCCAAACACATGTATTGTACTGAAAGATGTCTTTAAAGATATACGTTATTTAGCTCCAGGAAAAATTGGATTGTAGTTTCTCAAAACAAGAATCAGAAAAAACACTCTCCCCCAGCTGCTCCCCAAGGTAAAATATACCTCTCTAGGAGTAAAGGATAGCTTGCTCACTGCGGTCCAGTGTCTCTTGGCCCTGCTCCTTTTCTTTCCTTCGATTAAAGCAGCTCTGAAGACACTCCTTCCCCTTGCACATATGGTTTTGCCCATTCAGGAGTGGGGCAGGGGACCAGGGCTGCAGGGGAACTGCTGGACTGAATGCTTGAGTTCACAGTGTTAACTGGACAGAGAATCCTATTACGTGATAGGTAGCAAGCCAGGGCCTAATTTATGGAAATTTTGACCTTCAATCCCCTTTGACATTTTCAGATCAGCCACAGCCTGTGTGAGACATTAGAACCCCTACAGTAAGGGGCTCTAAATCAGCCTGTGAGGCTGCTGGAGCTGACGAGCGGGTCAGAGGTAAGAATTCACTGAGGTTCGTGTGTGGGCTGCTTGGTGCCTGTTTGACATTTATAAATCAGTGACATTCCTCTGCACAGCTCACTGCATACAGATCTCTTCAGTCACTCTGAGGAGGGCCCCTCATTTCAGTCAAGGGTGGATTTGGGCATCTTCGGCCTTTCCTTTTGACTTGAGCAAGAATGCATCTAAAGAAATCCAGCTTTATTAGCTGATGAGTTCAGCTACCACCATACAGTGTGACCTGCTCCCTCAGGAGGATGGAGCACGGGCTCTTTTAGGATCAACCCTACCTTCTTTGTGCTGTCTTCAGAGGACTTGTGCTATCTTCAGAGTTTGGGTGTGAAAGCCTTCATCACCAGGTGCAATACCAGACCCTTCACTTTTTCATCAACTGCCACAACAAACATGTTTGTCAGTTTTGTAGCACAAATAGCTGCAGTCCCATTTTGCTGGGTGCCAACAATTCGGACCAAGAGGAGGCAGCCAGCTGGATATCCAGTTTCACATGGACACTTACCTGCTGTGAATAAAACTCCACTGGGCTGAGCTGTATAAGTGGGCCTGCCCCAGATTTCTCAGAGTCTAGACTCTATGTAGAGAGAAAACATGATGAGAAAAACAAGGCTGTAGAGAGGGTAGCATTAACATCAGCCAGTTATTGTGCAATAAATATCCATATTGGATTTAGCAAGCCTGACCTGTTTAACCACTGTTTGCTTCTCCAAACCCTGAAGGTTGATGTGGACTCTCCTTTCCCCTCAGCACTGGCAATGCCTCTGCCACACACAGTTCCTCCCGGCTAGCGGCTGTGCTGGGATTTGGAATGTCCTCCCATTGCATGGTGGCCTCGAACACACCGTGGCCGGGATGGGGAGGTCATCTCCTCTGTGGTTGTGGACCAGCAGCTGTGGAGCCAAAGAGAGAGATTGTGTTTTGGGCTGCACTAAGCAGGGGGTGTAAGGATGGCCATGAGGGTATGGCTGGCACAGGGGCCATGACGGGCTTGTACACCCCAGTAACCAACACCACCACGGTCACCGGCTGCCTCGGGGAAGCCACCTGTAGCCACCTCAAAGCGAAGAGGGATAATGGCTCTTGAGCTTTTCCCTCATGCCCACACACCTTGACACTAAGGGGAAAAGCTGCTTTGGGGGGTGTGGGAGTGAAAGAGGGACGAAAATCATAACTGTGGGAAAAATCAGACAGACCTGAGGTAAAAATCAGGCAGAAGTGAGGGAAAACTCGGACAGAAGTGAGAGAAACCAGCGGAGGGAAGCCGCAGCAATGTGATGGCGGGTGGGGAGGCCCCTCTCCCGAGGGCCGGGGGGCACCGCCGTGTGCGGGGGTTGCCTCAGGTCTCCTCGGGGGGCGACGCCGGGGAGGGAGAGAGCGGGCGGGCGGCGCCGACCGCGCTCCCGGCCTGGGAAGTGCCTGAAAATGTGCGGCCGGGGCAGAGCTGGGGGGCCGGGGGAAGGGGGAGGGCGCTCCCCGGCTCCCCTCCCACCCTCTCCGGATAAATGGGCCGCCGGGAGGCGGCCGGGCGAGCGGATCGGCGGGAGCCTGCGGACGAGCCTGGCCCAGCCCAGCCCGTCGCCGTGCCCAGCGCTCCCTGCCGGCGGGGCCGCCGGGGGCTCAAGGGCCGCATCCCCCCGCGGGGCCGGGGCGGGAGGGATCGGGCCGTTGTTCCCTTCCCCGGGGGCCGCCTGACGGGCGGGCAGGGTGCGGGGGGCCGGGTGGCGGGAAGGCGGCCGGGGTAGCCCGGTCCGGCTGTTGCTGGCTCTCCGCCCCGCAGCAAGCTGAGCCCGGGCTCCGGCAGGCTGGTGGCGGCGATCGGGGCTCAGGGGGGGCCCTCCGGGCTCCCTTCCCTCCCTCCGCGGCGGGCAGCGCTGGAGGATTTTCTCCCGCTGCGGTCCCCTCGCTGCCCCCCAGACATGGTAGGTCACCTACAGCTGCAAGGGATGGACGAGAGCCTGAAGGAGAAGAGCCGGGAAGGCTTGCTGGACAGCCCGGACTCGGGGCTGCCCCCCAGTCCCAGCCCCCCTTTCTACTCCCTCTCGCCCGGTGAGGGCAGAGCTGGGGGCAGCGGTGGTGCGGACCCCCCAGCCCCGGGGCACCGGCGAGAGGCCAAGGACGGCAAAGTGGTAAGAGCCAAACCCTGAGCGCTGGGCTCTGTCCTCCCCGGGCCCCGGGGCGGGAGAAAGGCTGGCCGTGCCCTGGAGTTGGGGGGCAGCGAGGAAGGAGCCTGTGCCCACTGACTGGAGCACCCCAGCTGTGTCCCCCCCCTCAGTGCCCATCTGCCCGTGCTGGTGGACGAGGGCTCTCCTGGGCTGCTTGTGCCCCATCGTGGCTGCAGTCCGGTGTCAGCACCGTCACTGGTGTGCCCAGGCCGGGGGTTTTCTGATGCGCTCGCAGAAGTGTTGGCAGTTTGACTGGGTAGACTCTAATAACGGTGTGGGAGTGAAACCCAGGTCTGAAACAGGCTCCCCTTCCTACCTTAAGAGCAGAAAAGTGTAATTGCTTCTCAGTGACACTGTCCTGCCTGCTAGACACAGGTTGGGGCTGTATCCGTCTGGACCAAGGCAGGGGAGCCCGGCTCCCAGCCGTCCTTACGTGCTGGCATCCTACATTTATTTTGTCAGGAGCGTGGAGCCACGTTTGCTGGAGCCTCATCTGAAAGAAAGACAAAACTGTCCATTAACTTGGGGCAGGGTATGGATGTCTGTCCAGGGAGTTGGTATGGAGACACGGTCTGGGGAAGGTTGTGTGCTGCTGCCCTTTGCTGGAGTGGGGTTTTGTGGCATGAGTCTGCGTGAAAGGTTTGTGCGCTGCGTGGCCGAGCAGAGCAGGGTTAGTGGTTTGTAAGCTCAGACAGCTGGCAGTAACACTGTAGATTTTTGTTAGCCTGAAGCAGTGCCAGCGAAGCGGTTGACTGTGGAGTGGGATTTGGGTAGATTTATTATGACTATTATTCTGCTTTATTTTGTTTATTTCTATCCCTTAGCTATAAAAACTGTTTTTAAAACACAAAGTTCAGAGCATAAGCAATGGTGGTGGAGGTTTTTGAAGGATGATGAAAGTTCTTCCCCAGGGATCTTTCAGATTTTTTTTTAACATATATAAAAGACATTCGTAGGTGTATTCAACACCATTAATTGGCTTCTATATGGAATAAAAACTGCAGCACAAATCTTTCCATGGGAAAAATTTATCTACCTATGGATTAATGACAATTCAAAGATTTCTTCCTGGTAGAGACATTTTTCAATGACTTCGCACACCCTCATTTAATTTCTCAAGTTCTAAGGCTATTTTAGCATATTATTGAAAACTGCCTTTTACTCTTGAACATGCCAAAACCTTCCCCATGAACAATGACTCCTTCTCACCAGACTATGATGGGTAGGGTGTGAGGTGTTAATTATGAAAATCAAATCTCAAACCCGCTAACACTGCAGTTCCGAATATGGAGCCTTACCTGCAGATGCCTGGGCGTGTGTGCCATCTGGATGGGACTGTTTATGTACAAAGAGTTACCCACATGCCTCTGGTTTGGCAGGATCAGGCTGTTGCTATGTATTTGTAAAGTAAAATGTGGGAGGAAGATGAATGAAGGCTTGCTGGACCAGAAAACAGCTGGGGTGGAGGTGTCTGCAAAGCTCTGTAATGGGGATATGATAGCCTCCATTCCAGTAATATGACAGTTGGCCACTGCTCGTCCCAAGAAAGCCCCTAGATATTGAAGATGAAAGAGCATGAGAAAAACCTATTTCAGCTCTTGGGCTGTTAGGACTGAATTTTAGTGCTTGACTCCTACAGAGGAAAAGTTATTTCTGTGATCTGTGTAAGGCAGAATTAAGTTTTCCAGTAATTTTTAAAATTTTGATCATAAATGAACACTTTACACATTTCAGATGAACTTGCTCTGTAGATGTTTCCAAATCTTGTATCTCATTGCAACACCATGGGTAGCCCTGAGCTCTGGCTGCTAGAGTATGTGTTTCATACATAGTTACTATTTCCATGCTCTTAGTAGGTACAGAAGGTTGCAAAGATCCTAACACTGAAACCAATTTGACTGTATTATTTGGAGTGGTGCAGGACTGTGCTCTTTAACTCTGACTGTTTGGTACACTGCAACATAATGAAGTAAATAGGAACTTTCACTCTGTTTGACTACACACAGAATTTCACTTCTCATTTACACCCTGCAAATAGTGTACTTGCAGCTGTTATTAAGAAAGCAGGAAAAATACGGAGAGGATTGCTTCTTTCATACTTGAAAATTTCAGTGTCTAATTGGCTTCAATCTTGCCATTTAACAAGGACTTGCAGATCTATGAGCAATTACACAATCCATGAATGTGCTTCTGTTTAACTCTACTACTCTGCTGTTCATCAGAGCATGCAGAATTGGCAAATCAATAATTGCAGCTATTTGCACACCAAGGCATGCTTTTTTTATTCGCCTGTTATGTTAGTGTTTGTTTTGCTTATAAACGTGACAGAGCCAGGAATGCAGCCTGTGCTCTTTGTGTTATAATACTATAAAACCATATATAATTTCAGTCACTAATGGCCAAAATTCTAGTATGTACAGTTACAACAAATTGCTGTCAGGTGAAGAAAACAACATTCCAGATCTGTGGGAAGTATTTCATACTATTCCTTGTTACAGACCTATCAAAACCACCAGTCTGAATCCAGTTGCGTTCTTTTGCAATCAGCTATTTTGCTCCAACTTCACAAATATGTTGAAGAATTTTTCTGCTCTAGGACAGCTCTTATACAGACTAAAATGGGATTGCATGCCCTTATCGAAGACTCTCTTGTGTGTAAAATCTGTGTTCTCTCTGCTTTGTGTTACTAACTGTGACTGAAAAAGTAAACTCTCTACTCTTTAATAAGCACAACTTTGTTTCAAAGACAATGCACCATTTATTCACATTTAACCAGCCAATTTGGCCACAGCTTTGGGATCCAAGAAAATATGAAAGGCAATTTAGGGCCAGAGTCATAAATACCACAAGTTCAACACCATTTAGGGACTTTTTTTTTTTTTTTTTTTTTTTGCATTTTACTTGCAGTGCAGGAGAAATTGGCTTTTATTTGTTCACATAAAGTCCATGTAGGGAATTTGTCAATTGTTTTGTGCTTAAGTGCAAATATCCTAATGAAAATAGAAGATGACTTTTACCTAGTTCTGCCTTCTAAATCTTAAACATGATTAAATTGTTTAGGGTTACTGAATTCTCTAGGCTTTGCATGTAATGCTGGGACAAAAGGAACATAAATACAATGAAATAAATCTCTAATAATTTGCACAAAGAAGCTGTTGCTGGAAGGGTAGGGAGTTAAATGACATTGAAGTAGCCAGATCTGCTTAAAGTTTTCCCTGTTGTTGCCCTGAGATAAAATTTTAGGCTAGAAGAACTGCTTTTGGGCTGTGCTGAAATAAGTGCTTTACATTCAATAGAGTAACTCCTAATGGCTATCGGGGGAGAGCAGGGTCACATTCATCTGCAGAACTATCCATTGTGCCTTCTTGAAGCAGTAGACTTCTTGTCCCTTCCCAACACTGTTGCCACTGCAATGAGTTCCTTTTTATTTGAAAGATTTCAGTATTTGTGCATTTAACCTGCCTCACTGAGCACTGACTTCTGTAGGACTATATCCCAGTGGATCAGCTGTCAGTTGAATGCCCCCGTGTAGGGAATTTCTACTTACCTTCAGGAGCTGTGTTGGACAACAGTGCGGTGCCAGAATCAGTCTCGTGTGATAGGAGGAGATTCCAGCTTCATCTTGAGTGCAGAGGAGGAGGAGAGCTTGCCCCTTGGCACAGCCTGCGCAGGCACAGTCTCAACAACGGGGTCCAAGTCAGCATGTGTGTCAACCCTGTTGGATTTATGACTGATATTAAAAAAACACCCAAACCAAAACACCTCTTCCTGACATGCTGTATGTTGAAGAGCCCTTGGGCCACAGAGCCAGCATCTCATCCTACACTGAAAGTGCTCCAGGAAGGGGGTCTGTCTTGTGGGGGACTGGCTGGGGAACGTGGTCCTCAGAGGGTTTCCAGGCAATATGTAACTTCCAGAGCTGGCAACACCTATGGTGAAAGCATGTGTGAGAGAAAGGCCTAGCACCCCCAACCCAAGCCAGCTTGCAGCCCGCACATGAAGCAGGTGACATGACTCTTCAAGCCCACGGGGGTCCCAACAGATCTGGGGAGAGCCCCAGGCTTGTTTGGGGAGCAAGGCACAGCAGCAGGGCTTGCCACAAGGCTTGGAGTTTGCAGCCTGGCATTCTGACCTGCTCCCACGGGGTGGGATCCTGCAGGAATTTCCCCAGTGGGGCTTGGCGGTGGTTTTAGTTTCACACCTGCATCCCTTGCCTGGCAAAGGCTAACCCCACCTGGTTGTCCCCTGTTCCTCAGCCCCGTCCAGTTCTGAACACGCACCCACTCTTCCTCCTTGGTTCAACACCAGCAGCGAAGGAGAGGGAATGGCTCTGGGCCTCACCTCGTTTGCAAACTGTGACAAATGACACTTCTGGGCAGATCAGGGAAACAGTCATAGGGGTCTCATCATCTAATCTGAAAAATGTGGCTTTGTCTAGGGTGGTGTCTTCTAGCTGTTTAATTTCAATTGCATCCCTACGTAACACTATGGACAATAAGCAAAGCAGCACACATTTCCCACTTGAAATAGAAGAGGGAGATAGGCAGAAAGGATGTAATTCTTTGAAATAATAAAGCCCGGCTTTCTACCTGAGGTCTGCATTTACTGTTATCACCTCCAAATATAATCTCATCCGGCTCTAGTATAATTTACTCGTAATGTGCAATACATGAAGACATTGGGAAAATAAACGGTCTGTTAAACAAATACTGCTTATCAGCTAGAGTGGAGAATGTAGATGGGTGTCAAATAGCTCAGCCAGATCTTTCATTATAGCTGTAAATAACAGCTGAGTAAAGTGACATTTTCATGGACCTGACATGTTACCATAGTGGGAAATGTGGTGAGAGATTTGCTTATGCCCTAGCTCAGATGGGTACTGGGAATTTGGGAAGCTGTATCCCGTTTGTTGCCCTGAGGCTTGGAAAACTGTTTCCCCCTCACAGTCCCTAGAGACCTAATGT